GAGAGAACGACAGCAGAGCCACGAAGGACACAAAGTAGGCCACGAAGGGCGACAGCGGGGACACGAAGGGAATGCGTATGGGGCCACGAAGAGCGCGAACGAGCGTGGGCCACGAAGGGCAGATAATGCGGGGCAACAGAAGGCAACGATGGGGCCACTAAGGGTAGCACCTGGGCCACGTAGGACAATGAGGGGGCCACAAACGGCGACAGCGGGGCCACGAAGGGCATGCACATGGGGCCACAACGGGCGCGAACGAGCGGGGGCCACGAAGGGCATACGTATGATGGGCCGCGGAGGGTACGGACGGGGCCACTGAGGGCAGCAACGGGGACACGAAGGGCAGCGAGGGGGCCACGAAGGGCGACAGCGGGGCCACGAAGGGCATGCATATGGGGCCACCACGGGCGCGAAAGAGCGGGGGCCACGAAGGGCATACATACATGGGGCCACGAACAAAGCGAGGGGGCCACGAAGGGCTGCAACGGGGCCACGAAGGGCTGCAACGGGCACGAAGGGCGGCAACGGGGCCACGAAGGGCAGCGAGGGGGGCACGAAGGGCTGCAACGGGGCCACGAAACAAAGCGAGGGGGCCACGAAGGGCTGCAACGGGGCCACGAAGGGCAACGAGGAGGCCACGAGGGGCTGCAACGGGGCCACGAAACAAAGCAAGGGGGCCACGAAGGGCTGCAACGGGGCCACGAGACAAAGCGAGGGGGCCACGAAGGGCTGCAACGGGGCCACGAAGGGCAGCGAGATCCCGACTCCTAGGTAATATGTGAAGGAGTCCTAAGCGTGAGCGCGACTCCTGGATGCCTGGGTGTCGGGAGCGCGGCACTGGAGTAAATTGCAAGAAATTCCAACGCAAGGGCGCTAGTCTTCAGTAAATTGCAAGCAAGTCTCCAGCGAGAGCGCGACTCCAGAGAGCAGGAGGAGCGATTCCTTAATGAATCGTAAGGAAGTCCCAAGCGAGAGCGCGATTCTTGAATCAAATGCGAGGAAGTCTCGGGCGGGAGCGGGGGTCCTGGCTAAATTGTGAGGAAGTCTCAGGCGGGAGCCGTTGTTGTTGCAACCTGGGGGCCACGGGCCCAGTTTGAGCAGGAAGACTGTCTTTGACAATAAACAAGGTGCGAGCCCCGGAGGGGGCACTTCAATTGAAAAAATAAATGTGCACCGGTGGGGGGATCAACGAAAATTAGCAACAACAACAACAACAACAACAACAACAACAACAACAACAACAACAACAATAACAACAACAACAACAACAACAACAACAACAACAACAACAACAACAACAACAACAACAACAACAACAACAACAACAACAACAACAACAGCAAGGGCAAGAGCAAGAGCAAAAGCAAGAGCAAGAGCAACAACAACAACAACAACAACAACAACAATTTTAAGACCGTTCGCCCTTATATGCTCGAGTGTCCAACGACGCGTATTTCCCAAACCCTCGATACCCGCCCTCTTCGTCTTCGATCGAACCCCTTTTGGGGGGTATACCTTTCTTCCCTGCAGGCCGCGGACCGGCGGCCTGGCCAGCGGCAGCGCTGATCGGCGGGGCGGCCGCGGACCGTCGACCCGACCCCAAGAGGGACGGACAGGGGACCGACGACGACGACGACGACGACGACGACGACGACGACGACGACGTCGAAGACGACGACGACGACGACGACGGCGACGACGAGCGAAAGCGAGAGCGAGAGAGAACGACAGCAGGGCCACGAAGGGCACGAAGTAGGCCACGAAGGGCGACAGCGGGGACACGAAGGGAATGCGTATGGGGCCACGAAGAGCGCGAACGAGCGGGGGCCACGAAGTGCAGATAATGCGGGGCCACAGAAGGCAACTATGGGGCCACTGAGGGTAGCAACTGGGCCACGTAGGACAGTGAGGGGGACACAAATGGCGACAGCGGGGCCACGAAGGGCATGCACATGGGGCCACAACGGGCGCGACTCCTGGGTGCCTGGGTGTCGGGAGCGCGGCGCTTGGGCAAATTGCAGGAAATTCCCACGCAAGGCCATTCTTCAGCAAGTTGCAAGCAAGTTTCCAGCGAGAGCGCGACTCCAGAGCGCCCGGAGAGCGATTCCTTAATGAATCGCAAGAAGTCCCAAGCGAGAGCGCGATTCTTGAATAAAATGCGAGGAAGTCTCGGGCGGGAGCGGGGGTCCTGGCTAAATTGTACGGAAGTCTGAAGCGGGAGCCGTTGTTGGTGTAACCCGGGGGCCAGGGGCCCAGTTTGAGCATCAAGACTTTCCCTGTCAAATAACAGGGTGCGAGCGTCGAGGGGCACACTTTGATTGAGAAAAAACCGTATGCACCGGTGGGGAGGATCAACAATAATTATTCTTCAGAAATGAAAATTCAACAACAACAACAACAACAACAACAACAACAACAACAACAACAACAACAACAACAACAATCATTTTACCCGAACGCGTGGTGTTCTCCCCAGTGCCAGGGTTTTCATACGACACCAGGCAATACCCCCACTTCGTGGGGGGGCATTACAAGCTCTACCAAATATCCAAACGACTCTTCGCGACCACCCAAACCCAGCTTCCCGCCCTATGACGTTGGGACACTTCACTTCGTGGCGTGCGGACGACCGTGGCTACTACACTGGCGTGGGGTACACACCCACAGAACTTGGTCACTTATTCGGGGCGCGCATGTGCCCAGCATGGTGCAATTGTGCCATACAATACATAATACAGAGAGACGAATGTGTCCCGCATGGTATTATTTGACAGGGATGATGGCCCTGGCAGGTGCGCAACCGTTGTCGCAGAAGTTCGAAAAAGTTGCTCGCAAAAGCCCGTTTGACAGAAATGTTTAAAAAGTGTTGGGTTTCCTACGAATCCGCAAGAGCGCGCGGGATGAGATTTTGACATTTTTTTGTTGAAAAACCATTGGTTTTTTGATGTTTTTATGTTAAAATCGCTCCGAACACTAAGCTTTTGGAAGGATTTCGTCTTGCGCGCGCGAATGTCCACTTTACCTTATTTTTTGCAAGGGATTCTTGAAATTTGATTATATTTGAACAAGAAATTTCATTTTATAGTGTTTTTTGCAAGGGAAAGCGGGGGGGAACAAAACAACCGGATCTTGATGACATCGAATTACCTGAGGCTTCCTCACGAAAATGATGAAAACGTGGCTGCGGCCTAGGCGCGGCGGGGGGGGCGCGCACCAGGGGGCCCAACAATAATTATTCTTTAGAATTAATAATGTTCAACAACAACAACAACAATAACAATAACAATAACAATAACAGCAGCAACAACCACAACGACAACGACAACAACAACAACAATAATACTAACAACCACCATAATAACAACAACGGCAACAACAACAACAACAACAACAACAACAACAACAACATCGACACAAACATCATCAACAACAGCAGCAGCAACAACAACAACAACAACAACAACAGCAGCAGCAGCACCCAACAACAACAGAACAACAACAACAACAAAAACAACAAAAACCAAAACAACAACCACAACAACAACAATAACAGCAACAACATCAACAACAAAAACAACAACATCAGCAACACCAACAACAACGACAACAACAACATCATCATCATCATCCTCATCATCAGCATCATAATCATCAGCATTATCATCATCGTCGTCATCATCATCACCACCATTATCATCATCATCATCATCACGACCATCAGCACCATCATCAGCAGCATCATCAGCATCATCAGAATCATCAGAATCCGCATCATCGGCAGCAGCATCATCAGCATCATCACCACCATCATCATCAGCATCATCAGCAGCAGCAGTAGCAGTAGCATCATCGGCAGAAGCATCATCCTTATCAGAATCATCATCATTGTCACCATAATCGTCCTCATCGTCATCATCCCTCCTCCTCCTCCTCCTCCTCATCTTCCTAGTCCTCCTCCTGCTCCTCCTTTTCCTCCTCCTCCTCCAGTCCTTTACGGTATGAATAACTCCTCCTTGTCGCACCCTGAGGCCGGCCGAAAGGGTAGGCCGGACGTTTCGCCTGAGAATTCCTACCAACTTACGACCCTGAAGCTTCAAAAGTGGCAACAGCTTCACATAATTACGGAGGGCGCGTGGTCTCAAAATGTGAATATCGCCTTAGCGCCGCGCACATTCGTTCAAACAAATACTCACCGATTGAGGGCGGGTCGTTTCCAAGATGTGGCTCTCGCCTTAGCACCGTGTACACTGGTCGAAAAAACTTGCAAGAGCTTCACGGACTGAAGGCGGGTCGTTTTCAAAATGTGGATCGCCTTAGCGCCACGCACATTCGTCTGAAAAATTACAACCACAACAACAACAACAACAACAACAACAACAACAACAACAAAAAGAGGTTTCACGGAGTCAGGGCGGTTCCTTTTCAAAATGTGGTTAGCACCGCGCACACTCGTTTTGAAACATTTGCAAGAGCTTCACGGATTGAGGGCGGCTCCTTTTCGAAATGTGGCTCTCGCATTGCCGCCGCAGACATTCGTTTCCAATGAAAAAAATGCGAGAGTTTCATGGATGTTCATGATTAACGTACCAGGAAAGGTTTTTCGAAACGATTCTGGATTGTCAGGGCGTGCCTAATTCGCAGTGTTGAAGTCCCAGGAACGGTATTCTGGCACATTTCAGGATCGTCCAGACGCAACAGGCCAATTGATTCGTGGCGTTGGAGTCCCGAGAATGGCGTTTTGGCACGCCTCAGGATCTTCAAACGGTTGTCTCCCAACGAGGCACTTCCCTCAGTGGGAATGAACCCCTGTAGGGGCCCATGAAGGGGGAGCTTCGAGGAGGATGGATTACAGTGTTGTTGATGAGTCTTAGGACTACACTGGTCCTCCTCCTCCTCCTCTGGGCCTCCAGGAGGTCAAAAATTTTCAGCGTTCTAGCTTTTTCGAGCTTCCGACGCTCGAAAACGGCCTCGTAGGCCCCCAAGATCGTCGCCCAAAGACGGCCCAAGAAGCCCCCAACAGGCCCGCAAGACGGACCAAGATGGCCCCGACACGGCCTAAGAGATGGCCCCGAGATGGCCACATAGACGTCCAAGACGGCCCGCAAGCGCCCAGAGGGACCCACGACTGCACAGGAAAGGCCCAAAGACGACCCCCCAAGGCCAAGAGGTCCCGTAGAGGCCCCCAAAGGCTCCCAAGAGGCCCGCAAGAGGACCCAGGAGGCCCCCTAAGAGGCCCCAGGAGGCTCCCAAGGGGCCTACCAGAGGCCCTGAAGAGGCTCCGGAGAAGCCCCCGGGAGGCCCCAAGATGGCCTCAAGAGGCCCCCTCGTCTTCCTCCTCCTCCTCCTCCCTCTCCTCCTCCTCCTCAATCCGCCCCTCCTATTGTCGCTTACTTTCCCAAATGCTCACCCAAGGGAGTCCACAACGTCTCGGGGAACACATAGTCCAATAGCTTGGCCAGGACTACGACCCAACGTTTGGCTGCATGGGCGTGTCCAAAACGAAGGGGGCGGCATTGATTCACCGTAGGCGTCTTCGATGCATCCTCCACATCCTCTTCATCCTCCCCCCCCTCTCCTCGCAAGATGGCTCCAGGATGCCGCAACCAGGTTCCTACGACAACTCGGTTGGGCATCGGTCCTGGATGGAATGGATGCGCTGCCGCATGGGCTACTCCGTCGTAAATAGGATTCAGAGTCCCACTGATACTTCTGGGCGGATGTTCCACTGCATGCGATTACGCTAACTTGATCAGGACAACACGTCAGGGCATCGCTGCTCGTGCGAGGCCTCCACGAGGCTCCGTGGCTGGTAACCCACAATCCGTCGCGACTGTGTGCTATGATGCTTCCCTGATCAAGGCAAAATGCCTGAACGGCCGGTGTGGATACAGAGAGGGTCATGAATGTAATCCTCCTGCTCGCTTGGTGGCGCCACGGCGATTGCTCCTCCTCCTCCTCCTCCTCCTCCTCCTCCTCCTCCTCCTCCTCCTCCTCCTCCTCCTCCTCCCCCTCATCACCTCCCTCCTTCAATTGGCCACTGCCCGTAGTTTCACAATCTGCAGACAGACACTCAGCTCACAGCACTCGGCTGGGGTGAGCCTACCCAAGAGTGCTGCGGTGCCCACGGGCCGTAGGCTGCGGTCCACATCTAGCATCACCACCGCTGGGGCGTGAGGGAACTGAGCCTGGCAACGTGGAAAATCGATCGCAGACCTGGTACGCCCCATGTCTGGCAAGTCGAGAGCCAATGGCCACAGGGCTGGAGGGGACCGAGGCACTCAGTAAACAGAGCCAAGGCCACAACCCTAGGAGGAGGACGATCGCGACACGGCACGGCACGGCACGATCTGCGTCTTACACCACGTGCTGGAGTGTTGGGCCGAAGCTCCCGGAAAAGTACTGGCGTGTGAAATTAAGACGGAGCAGTGCGACGCCACAGAGCGCATACTGGGACTCAAGACTCGCGAAGAGGGAGCTTCGAATCCCCAGCGACGGGACCCACCTGGAGTACCCAGAGTAGATCGCTCGGTGGCCCTGGGGCGATACGGCGCTGACCTTGGTGCCCAACCCCAGCGCAGACGCCGAAGCGACATACACACGTCTAAACATGCCAAGAAACGCGTGCACGCAACACTGCAACACTGAAACTGTTTTGAGCACCCTCCCTCAGTCAAATGAACTCTCACTCGCTGTTGGTCTGCAACCTGACCTCCGAATGTAGTCGTGGCGCTGAGATGCCGTGGCCTCGTCACTGGTCTGAACCCTTCCTGTAAAGCTGCTCACTCGTGGCTTACCTTGGAGTCGCCGCGCGTTGGCCAGTAACAGTGGACGTCGACTACAGCGCAGATGCAGCACAGAGGAAAGCGGGCGGCATCTGCAGATGCACAGCAGCAGGATCTGCAGCAAGGACAGCAACAACGGCGATCGCATCCCCGGCCTCAGCAACGGCAGTAGCGGCAGCGGCGACACCACTAGCAACAGAAAGAGAATGATTAGAAGAAAAAAACACGTAAACATAAACTTACGGCGCTCCGCGTGGATTTCTTGGATCTGCGCACCAGGTGCGGTGCTGGAGGCGCCGCCGGGGGGGGCCCAGGCGCGGATCCGAGAAATCCGCGCGGAGCGCCAAAAGTTCATGTTGATGTGGTTTTTCTTCTTCGAATGATACTCCAGATTTCGTAATAAAAGGAAGGGGGTCTGGACCCTCCAAGACAAGCCATTTCAGACCCCCCCCCGTGGGAGAACCCTCCAAAACATCGTCCCCAGACCCCCCCAGGCCCTCCAAGATAGCCTGGAAGAGACCCCCCCGAAATGAGACCCCCCTCCCTTTATTACGAAATCTGGAGTAATCAGCGGCGACAGCACCGGAACGCCAGAGTCCGAACAGGCGCCTCGCGGTCCCAGCTGGCAGCCCGGCCCAGACACAGGCCGCAGCCACGCCGAGCGCTGCGAACAGCGGCGGCAGGGGGCGGCCGGGCGGGCGCCGTGCACGTGGCAAGCCTGAGGGGGCCCCGGCTGCAGCAGAGGGGGCCGGGTACGGCAGGCGAGGGGCTTGGGGGAGGCAGGGGGGACCAAAAGCTCGTCACGAACGCAGGAAGCTGCGCCCACGGAGCAGGACCCCACAGGGGGGTCCTCGAGACGAGCCCGGTGTTCTCGGGGGGGTGGGCATGAGGTGGCATGTATACTCCGTCCCACGAAGCATCCCAGGAAGGAGGACGACAAAGGGAGACGGAGGGAAGGGTGGCAGAGGAGCGCGAGAGGCGGCTGCCCTGAACGAGCAGAAGGAGCGAGAAGCCGGAAGGAGGAGAATGAGGAGCAGCAGCAGCATGGGCGGCAGGAGGACGCACGTTTGCTTCGCCCCGCCATTGCGTTCCTTTTCGCTTCACGCTGCTTCTCGGTGCGTCCTCCCCCACCTTCCTGCTCCTGCGCTTCATCATCAACGTAGTCACCATGATGGCATCAGCATCATCCTCGCTACCACCATTACCACCATCATCGTCGTTAGAATCATCATCATCATCATCATCATCATCATCATCATCATCATCATCATCATCATCATCATCATCATCATCATCAGCAGCAGCAGCATCATCATCATCATCATCATCATCAGCAGCAGCAGCAGCATCATCATCATCATCATCATCATCATCATCATCATCATCATCATCATCATCATCATCATCATCATCATCATCATCATCATCATCATCATCATCATTATTATCATCATCGTCATCATCATCCTCATCCTCATCATCATCATCATCATCATCATCGTCACCATCATCATAATCATCATCATAATCAGCATCGTCATCATCATCATCATCATCAGCATCACCATCCGCAGAAGCCATCATCATCATCATCATCATCACCACCACCATCATTATCATTATCAACAGCATCATCATCAGCATCATAGTCATCATCATCACCATCATCAGCATCATCAGCATCATCATCAGCATCATCAGCATCATAGTCATCATAATCGTCATCATCACCATCAGCATAATGGTCATCAGCATCATTATCAGCATCATCATCATTGGCATCATCAGCATCATCAGAATCAGCAGAATGATCGTCATCATATTCATCAGCATCATCATCAAAATCAGCATCGTCATCATCATCATCATCATCATCATCATCATCATCATCGTCATCATCATCATCATCATCCGCATCATCATATCATCGTGATCAGGATCATCATCATAATGATATTCAAAATCATCGTCATCTCAATCATCATCACCATCCCGCCATCATCGTACAAGCATCGTACTTATCATCACCATCGTCGTCGTCGGCGGCATCACAATCATCGGCATAACAACAACATCGCCATCATCGGTATCATCATCATCGTCATCATCGTCGTCATCGTCATGATCATAATCATCATCATCATCATCATCATCATGTACATCGTCATCATCGTCATCATCTTCAAACTCATCATCATCGTCGTCGTTGTCGTCGTCTTCATGTTTGACCTTCACCGTCGTCATCGTCAAAGTCATTATGATCATAGTCAGTATGGTCACCATCATCCTCCTCATCATCCAATGCCATGTTCATACCTTCATCTCCCCACGCTGCTCCTCATCACCATCAACACTCCACGCTTCCATCGCTCACACTTCCCCATACAGCGCAACGTCCTTCAGAGCATCTGTTCATACTCCCTGGCCAGGCGCCGCACGCGCAAGGCGCTCTGCGAGGCTCGAGCCCAAAATGGCTGCATAAGTCGTCTTGGGGAACCCGTCTAAGCTTAGGTCGGGCGTGTCCACCTACAGGCAGATCTCGGAGGAAAAAATAATACATATTCAAAAAATCGAATTACCAAAACAAAAAAAAACCTTGAAAACGTAACGTCCCCAGGCTATTGTTTGACTATCTGAAAAACATCCTCCTGTAGAGGGACACACCCGACTTAAGTCTAAGGCCATTGGGGCGAAGACGGAGACAACTATATAAACAGAGACGACAGATTCTGCCCAGGAGGAGGGTGGGAGAGTAGGGTGAAGCGGCAAGAAGAAGATCGGGCGAGGGCGGGATAGGTCGCAAGTGAAGGACGAAGCGGAGGAAGACAGAAAAGTAGAGAGAGAGAGAGGAAGTAGCTAAGAGGGATTGTGTAAGAGAGAAGGGAATCCTGATGCGGATACGGACACGGACACATATCTCAGTGTCAGCACGGACGTCGACACGGACACGGCCACAGGAAAGAATGCGAGACCCACGACCCAGGTGAACCAGGTGAGGAACTCAAAGAAAGGACAGGACATGGACAGGACAGGACAGGGCCTGCGCCTGCGTCATGCACCACGCGGATGCTGCAGGGTGGGACCGAAGCGCCCCCAACCCTGGACAGTGAAACACTGCACACGCGAAATCATGACCAGGCTGGCGCTCACTGGGCGGACGCCAGTCGGAAAGATGGGACCTGGAACCAGAGATGTGGGGCCCAACGACGGAGAGTATGGAACCCAAGTCGGAAAGTTGGGAGCCAGAGTCGGAAAGATTTAAGCCATGGGTAAATTTGGGAGCCAGAATCGCAAAAATGGACCTGCAATTCGAAACTTGGAAGCTGGAGTCGGAGAGATGGGAGCCGGAAGCGGCATACTGGGAGCCAGAGTGGAGGAGATGGGAGCCTGAGTCGGAAAACTGGGAGCCAGAGTTGGAAAGCCGGGGCCTGGAGCCAGAAAGTTGAAGCCGGAGCCGGAGAGATTGAAACCAGAGTCGAAGATACGAGACCCAGAATCGGAGAGATGGGGGCAGGATTCGGAAAGTTGGGAGCTGGAATCTGGAGCGGGAGAGGTTGGAGCTCGAGCAGGAAAAATGAGAGCTGGAAACAAAGAAGGGGGGTCAGAGTCAGAAAGTTGGGAGCCAGAGTTGGACAGATGGGACCTTCGTGGCGTGCTTGGAAAGATCTGGCGTCGTCACCCTGCGAAGTCAATTTGGTACCACAATAACGAAAAGACTGTACTATGAGATGTTAGCTATACGCTGGAGCACCATACTACGGTGTACTATTGTATGTTATGCTGTGTTGTGTGTTGTGCCGCGCAGTGCAGTGTAGGGCGGTAGGTAGGTAGGTGCGGTTCTACTGAGCCTTTCTTGCGGACTCGCCATCATGGTCCTGAGCACTACTGGGACACGTAACAGAAACTGCCAGACGCATGTGAAATACCACTCTGGCTCAACACTTACACGTGCCGCACACCTTACATGTAAAGCATCTGCGGCATTACAAGTTCAACAATTGCACCAGCAGCACGACGAGCACGTTCCAAATATCGAACACGATTCGGAGGTCGCACACCGTTCCCTTCACCTCCTGGTGTCCTTCTCACTATTCTTCCTACTCCGTCCTCCCGTTTCATCCTGTCCCCGCGCTTCTCATCATAATCTCGTCCTTCGACATCGCTCCAAACTGTGGCATGAAGTGGCTGTAGCGTCTGTCCTACTCCTCCTCCTCCTCCGCCTCCTCCTCCTCCTCCTCCAGCCACCCTGCCCGTTCGAGGGGTTAGGGAGGAAACTCCTCACACGGGACAGCTGCCCCATACGCGCCCCCTATCCCGCAAGACTGGCAGCCGCAGTGCTGCTGGGCCGAAGGGGCCGTGCCCGTGCGCGTGCGGGCCGCGAAGGAGAGGCCCCGCGAGACCGACGCGCCAGGCTCCGAAAGAGCGCAGGCGCGCATCCCAGTGCGAGTCGCTGTGGCAGGCGTGCTACCACAACGGCACCACAGCCGACAACCGCATTCGATGCTAGGTGGCACTGTCTTCTCCTAGCCATGAGGGTCCTGCTGCACACGCAACTAAGGAGATGATCCCAGTGCGTGCAGGAGTTGCGGGGAGGTGTGCGTCCAGAGACGTTCAATAACAGGTCCATCCGAGAAACTGTCGCGGCCAGCTCGGTCCGAGTCCCAGTCTCAGGAGTCAGGCAGAGGCCGTGGCAAGGCCAATATCGATGATGCGCCAACAGGACGTGATCGAAACTCCTGGTCCAGGGCGGGATGCCAAAGAGTTACGTCACATCCGATCGGCTCTGCCATCGGTGGCCACGCAGCAGCCACAGTGGCCTCCACCTCTGCCTGTGACAGCCCGTGCCGAATACGTCGACACCTACCAGGACCAAACATGGCCCAGACTCGAGGCGTTCCGTGCCATCGCGTCGGGCGGGTACGAGGCGGTTGCAGGCACAGAAGAGCTCGAGCATCGAGATGGAGTCACAGCCTTCCACGCCGGCCCCGGAGCTCTTTCCAGCTCCTGGCCGGAGACCTCGCAGCAGATTGCCGAAGGCTGCAGCAATGCCCTACTGATCCTCATGTGGCTCGCGAGGGTCGAGGGTCTGCTTCTGCTGCATCGCGGCGAGCTGCTCCCTGTTCAGCCCAGCCTCTGCAATGTAGGCCAAACGCTCGGCGTCTGGGCAGCTCCACCAAGTGCAGCGTCAGCTGCCAGTGCCAGCTGTTCCATGGCAAGTCCCTGCGCTTTGATCTTGATATCGTCGGCTTCCTTCTGCCTCTGCTGGTCGAGCTCCTGCAGGCTTGCCTCCCTCACTCGGACATCCTCCTCCAGTGCCCCTGGTCAGACTTTGCGCTTGCGAATTCACCTCGTGCGTAATGAGTTGTTCCTGGCTCTCGGTGTGCCTGTTCTCCGTCCTGGTCAGCGCTTCGGCCGGCTTCTTGCATCGGCTCTCGATCTTGTTGGCATGGAAGAGCATCGTGACTATCGCGCCCTTGCACACATGGCAATGCTCGTAATACAAGCACAAGTTTCCAGATTGAATTGCGCACGTTCAGAATGACCCTAGCAAAACATGATTGTCTTCGAATTTCGGGTCGATCAAACGCATACATGTTTGTTCGTTGCGAATGTCTCGAGCGGGACGCTTGTTTCACAGAGATGTAGCATGGTGTCTCGAGCCAAATGTTTGTTGTCTGCTCTTCTCTCCAGGGGATCACATGGGTATCTCAGCTGACA